TTGTTGTCAAATTTTGAAAGTGCAAAATTAGAAAAATATGAGCACTGCTTGGCTGGAAAACAAAAAAGAGTTTCTTTCCAGTCTCATCCTCCTTCAAGAAAGACAGAGTTGCTTGAGTTGGTGCATTCAGATTTATGTGGTCCAATGAAGACAAGGACTTTGGGTGGTGCACTTTATTTTTCTACCTTTATTGATGATTGCTCTAGAAAACTTTGGGTCTACATCTTGAAGACGAAAGAACAAGTGTTAGGTGTCTTTAAGCAGTTTCAGGCTTTAGTTAAAAGAGAAACTGGAAAGAAGTTGAAGTGTATTCGTACTGATAACGGTGGTGAATATTGTGGACCATTTGACGAATACTGTAAGCAACAGGGTATCAGACACTAGAAGACTCCTCCTAAGACTCCTCAGCTTAATGGTTTAGCAGAAAGGGTGAACAGGACCTTGATGGAAAGAGTGAGATGTTTGCTTTCTGAAGTAAAGTTGCCGAATTCCTTTTGGGGTGAGGCTTTGTTGACCGCCACACATGTTATTAATCTATCCCCTACGGTTGCTTTGCAAAGTGATGTTCCAAACAGAGTTTGGTATGACAAGGATGTTTCCTATGACTACTTGAAAGTGTTTGGTTGCAAAGCTTTTGTACATGTGCCTCAAGATGAGAGGTCAAAATTAACTACCAAGACAAGACAGTGCATCTTCATTGATTATGGCCTTGATGAGTTTGGTTACCGGCTATATGATCCAATTGAGAAGAAGGCCGTGAGAAGCCGTGATGTTATCTTCGTGGAGGATCAAACCATTGAAGATATTAACAAAGCGGAGAAGTTAAAATCTCCAAGTTCTGAAGGTTTAGTTAATTTTGATCAAGTTCTTCATACAAATGCGGATGGCATTAGTGGGCTCAATGATGATGGTGATGCCCAAAATCATATTCCAGATCAACATATTGATGGTGATGGTGATAACAATGATAATGTTGATGAGGTAGATGCTCATACTCACAAAGCTGTAGACGAGTTAGATATTCTACTCAGGAGGTCCTCTAGACCTCGTACTCCTTCCTCCCGTTATTCACCCAATGAGTATGTATTACTCACTGATGGGGGAGAACCTAAATGTTATGCGGAGGCCATAGAAGATGAGCACAAGGATCAATGGATTGAAGCCATGCAAGATGAGATGAAATTTCTGCATGAGAACCATACTTATGAGTTGGTGAAATTGTCTAAGGGCATGTGAGCGTTGAAAAACAAGTGGGTGTTCAAAGTTAAAGCTGAAGAACATAGTTTGAAGCCCAGATACAAAGCTAGATTGGTTGTCAAGGGATTTGGTCAAAGAAAAGGTATTGACTTTGACGAAATATTTTCTCCTGTCATGAAAATGTCCTCCATTCGGACAGTTCTGGTTTGACTGCCAGTCTTGATTTAGAGATTGAGCAGATGGATGTGAAGACTGCTTTTCTTCACCGTGACTTAGAAGAGGAGATTTATATGGAACAACCCGAGGGCTTCAAGGCAAACGGTAAGGAAAATCTTGTATGCAAACTTAAGAAGAGTCTATATGGATTGAAGCAAGCTCCCAGACAGTGGTACAAGAAGTTTGAGTCTGTTATGGGGGAGCAAGGCTACAAGAAGACTTCCTCATATCACTGTGTGTTTGTACAAAGATTTTCTAATGATGACTTTATCATCCTCTTGCTATATGTGGATGATATGTTGGTTGTGGGTAGGAATTCTTCCAAGATTGACGAGTTGAAGAAACAGTTGAATAAGTCTTTTGCAATGAAAGACTTGGGTCATGCTAAGCAGATTTTGGGCATGAGACTTGTTCGAGAAACGAAAGAAAGCTTTACTTATTACAGGAGAAGTACATAGAACATGTGCTGGAGCGCTTCAAAATGAAAAGTGCTAAGTTGGTTCGCATACCCTTTCCTGGTCATCTGAAGTTGAGTAAGAAGATGTGTCCTACAACAACGAAGGAAAAAGAGAGAATGGCCAAGATTCCTTATTCCTTTGCTGTCGGAAGTTTGATGTATGCAATGGTATGTGTAAGCACGTGATTTTTGCTTCACGAACAATCACTCCAAAAGAAAACAAAAATAGTGACCAGTGGCCTCGCTGTACAAATTTTTAATTTTTCATGACATGTACTACTAGTCATTTGTGGTTCGTCCCATTTTTTGCATTTTTGATCTTATCAATCAAAATACAAAGTATGTCTGTCATAGTAATCAAACCGCAATTCGGTCGTTGAAAGAAAATTCAAAAAATATATATATGCATCGTTCGTTCTAGGTTGTGATTTAACTTACTTGAATATTTTTATATGTGTGTGATAATTATGTTAAAGTGTTACATTGTTGTTTATTTTAATTTCATTTTTTATTTTTATTTCATTTTTGTTTTAAAATTAGGAAAAACAAGAGAAAAGAAGTGATGAAAATCGGTTTGGGCCCAAGAAATGAAACAAAAATAGGCCCAAAACCGGCACACAAGTCCAGTCCAAGTCCGGCCTGCCCAAACACTAATTCAAACGACGCCGTATCAGCGTCCTTATTGGAGCCGTTGATTTGATTCGAATGAACGGTCCCGATCAAGCC